TATATAACCGTCTACGTGCCACGGGGACGAAACGAATTAAGTGAGGGGACTGTAGGATTCGATAGATGTTATTGTTGCTTGCGTAGGCATTCGTTCAGAAACGCAAGGCGAGTGAAACAGCTTGGCTTGCAGTTGTGGAGTGTCCAATGTTTGCCGTGTCGATTGTTTTCATATGCTACTGCAACTACACTGAGGCTGAGCGGGTTCTCGCTGAGGGGCAAGGTTGGTTGGACCAGAAGGCGCAGGCTGCCTGCCGGGAGAGCATGTGCTGGCTTGTGTTTTCGGTTGCATCCAGCGAGCGAGGACTGGAGTTTCGCTGGAAAAGCAGGCATTGTGGAGGAACAGTGTAACCCAAAGCGAAGCCTAGCACTAGTAGGAGAAATGCGGCGGGGGAGGGAAAGACCTCTCATGAGCGTTGCGGTGGCCATGCGGGCCGGGAGTTCTCAATGGTTCTCACACCCCTGACAAGCAAGCGCAAGCAAGCAAAAGAAAAGGCAGACAGAAGCGCGCAGAGAGTACTGTAACCTGAAGGTTCCTCCAAGCACGGGGCACTGTCGACTCCCGGTATGCAACAAACCCGTGAGGAGAGTAATAGATGCTTGAGCCAACTTGAGTCAACAAAGACGCGAACGCAAGTAAGGCCTCAACAGTGCGACCAATCAAGACGAGACAGAGACGGCTTTCTTCTTATTGCTGGGCTCCTGTTCATCTCTTCGATCTCAACACGAATGTGGGCCATGCATTGTTCACGAGGGATCGGGCATCGGGCCCTCCCTCTTCACCAGCCGACAGAAGAATTCGCAGCAGATGAAGAGGATCGTGTAGCTACGTAGCAGCCAAATAAGCCAGCGACAATGTGCTCCAGTGCGTGATGCTGGCGAGTTGAATACTTGATCCTTCAAGGCTGGTTCAGTATCACTTTTTTTTTGCATCTTTCGCTTGACTCGGCAGCAGGCATCACGCCCCTCGCATCGTCGAGAGGAGTACCAGTTGCAGCTTGCTCAGCTCTTGGTTGCGGACGTCGTTTTGCTGAACAAGGCCTGTGAGTTTTCATGCCTCAGCAACACGTGCGCCGAAGTCTCCTCTCCAGGTGGACATTTGCAATGATGAGCCCAAAGCGCTGGAGCTGCTGCGCCAATTGTGCCCTCACGCGAAGGTCTGCTACATTCATGTAGAACACCCGCGGAAACCTAGCAGTGGTCGCAACGCGGAGCCAACTGTGAAGCGAGGCTCTGTCCAAGCTGAGTTTGAGCCAACTACAAGTAGCGCAATAAACAAGGGCCAGGGAGGCAGCAGGGCAGTAATTAGGTTTCGGAAAGCTTTAGCAACAAATGTCGAATCTGAGCACCAGAAGGTCTTGAGCTGCTCCTTTGGCGATGTACCGGTGCCAGAACTGCTCGATGTGGTGCCTGCTCCTCTGTCGGAGAGCACAACCGTTTCACACGAGGAGCCAACAGAACATTGTCGGTGGACTCGTGAAGAGAGCTCTTCTTTCTACCTCTTGTCGACTGTCCCCTCTCGTCTTTTCTGGCAATGACTTGAGGACATTCCGGCCTGCTGGCAGGCTCGAAAGTTTTGGATTGCGAGTGCACCGGACGTGGATTGGTACATCGTGTGCGAGGTCTCTGCCAGCTTGGAATCTTCAAGGCAGAATCGCGCGCTGCCTGGAGGTTTGCCCGCGAAGTTTCATCATCGTGTAGTGGATGCTCGGCGAAGTGACTGTCATGTGCATGCGCCTGGGCACAATCCTTTAAAGTGCTCCAAGAAGTGCGAGGAATGGTCAACCCGTGGTGGGCAATCCAAGCCAGTGCAGCTCGCTAGGTTTCAGAGCCTGCGCCTCGCCACATTTTATTGGCGGCTCCTTCATGCTGCGCTGGCATTACATGACGACGTTGCTTGACGCTTGAGGCTTTGTTTGCACCTTCACCGCGTCAGACGATGGCTTCGTCGAGGGAAGGGAGTCTTGTGGGTTGCAGATCCTCGACATGACCGGTGGCCGGGTCCCCGAATTATGCAGTGCATGAATGTCGTATGCCAGCCGAGGAAGATCCACATGCGAAGTGGGAATGGGAACTGAGCGGGCAACTCCGATTCAGTTGTCGGCGTGCTCCGAATGGTTTTGGCGGCGCTGCGGCTTTCAGCAGTCTCGTGCTGGGCTCGGATGGTAGTTTCTGGCGTTCGTCGCTTCTGCCTTAATTAAAACCACCCCTGCCTAACTGAATGGTACTTGCACGGATGTCTGGGGGTTCGAAGTACACTTCCGGCTGCTATGGGCCCAGTAAAGATCCCAGTACATGTATTTTCGTGTAGTTCTCGTGGGGCATTCCACCCGGAAGAACGTACTTGGGGCTCTTCAGTCATCTTTACCAGCGCACAGCACGAATAACGACTTATGGGTTGGGGGGACCCCCAAGTACATGAGTCGTCGGTGGTGGTACACACAATCAAACACAACAGCACATGCCGATGTCGGAAAATCCACCTGATATCTACCGTGGCTATGGAGTGTGTGAGCGTGTGAGTGAACATGGTGTCGTTGTTCTTAATTAGACACTCAAACTCAACACATGAGGCCGAACTAGAAGCCCCCCCCCCCCCGAAATGACCGTAGCTATATGTAAAACTACCACGTAATCATACGAACACGTTTTGAGTTTCAGTTGCGGGCAGGGGTGAGGAGCCCACCCCGTTCAATGTTGACCCTCTCTCTGTCCTCTCTCTCTCCTCCCTCCCTCTCTCTCTCTCTCTCTCTCTCTCTCTCTTCTTCCTCCCCTCCAATCCCCTCCCCTCGGCTCCCCCTCCCTGCCCCTTCCTCCGCAGAGCATTTCTGTTGAAAGCCGACGAAGGTGCTGATCTTTGCGGATGGTTCCTCGGCCAAAGGAGCGTGCGAGCACTTGTAGCACTAGGACGCGGAAAGGTTTTGTGTCTTTCTGGCAATTTGGGACTGGGCCGAGGCGTTTCCGAAGGGGACCTTGTCGACACACGGCTTGCGTTGTCCGATCTGACAGTGCCTCCGACAGAGATGGCGGCGCCAGAGGAAGCATTCACCTGTGCCTGTCTTTGAGTTGCAACTGAATGCTTGTCCGACATTTATTTCCAGATGTTGGCCGCGGTCGGGCTTGTGACCTTAATTTCTGCATCACGCCTGTAGCAGCGTGAAACAGCATCCACCCGAAGGTTAAGCACTCCCAAGCATCCTACTCAACTCAAAGTGAGGGCAAGGCTCAAGCTCAGAACTCTCCAGCGCGGGATCGCAATCCACCGGGAGCAAGCCGAACAACGCACCGGAACTGAGCTGCTGCCGGTCTCATTTCCTTCCCGTTGGGCTCTATGTTCTCGGAGGAGATTTTCTCGCAGTTGCAGCCAGACTTCGAGATGCTTGAAAGCACGGACCAGCCCGACGCTTGCATGCGCTTCCGCCTCACAGGCAACGATGTGCCTGGTTGAAGATTGTTCGATGTCGAAGTCGCACTCAGACTCAGTCCGTGAATTCACGTGGTCACTCAGTCGGCATCTGCGAGGCCATAGCTTTTTCAACATCAGCAAGGACTTGGATATCTCGGAGCCGCCTTATCGCCTTTTGGCCGGAATGTGCTTACGTCGTCAGAGATCCTTCAGTGACTCAGTGAAGGCATCGACCTCGACGCTTTGAATCGAGATCTTGCACAAATTGTGAATGCCGAGAAGGGCGCTATTTTCTTGGCCACAGGACCTGTTCCAATCTGTGGACTCCTGTTGGCAGCCTGGTTTTCCTTAGCCAGCTGTCGATGCCAGCTAGATGCTCTCGCATTGAGTCGGATGTGGCCTTTGCAGCGTTTAGACGCATGTCGGTTTTGCGCTGGAGGAGCGGGCTTCTGCCGTGTGGCTAGGTGGCAAGCAGGTCGCTCAAGAAATCAGAGGCATCCCTCCGGGACAGGAGGCTGTAAGCCGGGAGCTTGTCAGTCAAATCAATTAGTCGCCAGCCTTAGCTTGTTTGCTGAACAGCAGCAACAGCTGCAGAAACAACAGCAACAACAGAAGTGGTAAGAAAATGCAAGACCGGATTTCAATAAGGGTTGTTAGACTGTCGGCACGCGGGCAATCCTGAGGAAAGAGGTCGAAGAGTTCTCGCCCTGCTGTGGCCGCTGGGTTGTTTGGCGCAAGAAGGTGCAACGCTCAGCTTTCATCCAGAGTGCCCTGCTGGCTTCAGGGCTGCGGAGTCGAAAAAGGGATGCCTCAGGACCTGCGGGACTCCAGATGAATTCCTTCAACTCGTGCCTGCCGCAGCCGGATCAATTGGATGCAGGTGGGCCAGCGCCTCCTTCACCGCTGCCAGCGGTCCTTGCAGCTGCACGGGCGGAAGCTCCTAAGCTGTTGCAGCGGTGCCTCTGAAGCACTGACATTCGAGTGACAGCTGTGCTGGCTGTGGGCAGAGGATGCGCGAGCTCATCAGCAGATGATGCCGCTTTGAACTAAGGTATTTCGGTCATGTGACAAGTTGTCAGTGCGGCCAATGAGTTGCAAAAAGGGTCGTCTGCGACGGAAGTAACCCTCTGAGTCCCAGCATATTCCAGCATCTTGCTTTGTGGTGCCAGCTGCCGGACAATGAGATGCAGATGTCCAGAGGCAGAGTGTCTTTCGTGATGACTATGCAGGTGATCGGTGGCACTGTGAGATGGCAAAAGCGATGCGGCTTCATCCAAAGCAGATCGGGCGGCGCTCTCACGCAGTGAATGCAGCGGATTGAGAATCCGAGAACTTCGTGTTCGGAGATTTGTGTCACGTACCGAGTGCTCTGAACGACTATGCTTCACCGCTACACCCCGCGATTGGCTCGTCGTTTGACCTTGCTATAGAGTCTGCTAGAGGGCTCAACCAACATTTGCAGAACGGGGGGGCATATGCTGTAGAGATTTGTAGGGCCTGTCGGGGCAACTCTCGGCTCGATACAGCACTGGACATGAATGAGAAACTGGTATCAGAGAGAGAGGGCAGTTTTTTGTTGGGTTGGCCGTGCTGCCATGGCAGAGACTGGCCGAAATGCGGCTCGAAGGCTGTCGCTTCAGGCCCCATCTTCCCTCATCCCTCGCGACGCCAAGCATCTTGCATCACAGAATATCTGCCTTTGCAGGTGGAGCTGATGGCCAACTCGTCTTGCTCCTGAAATGCAAGATGTTTGCTCATGGAAACTCTTGGCTTTCTAACAGTGGAGCTTTACCCTCAGGCAATGAGGAACGGCGGCCGAGCTTCCTCCGCAAGACTGTGTCAACTGCGATCCGAGGCAACGAGGCGCTTCATGAACGATCGTAAAAAGCGCATCGCCGCACCTGCAAGTGGTCGGTCAGCTAGGCCCAGCAGAAGTGGAAGGCGCTGCGGAAGGGAGCAGCAAGCTCGAATGACGTGGAGGACTCTTTGAATCACAACTTCGGGGCTGTGGGGATGCGGCAGGATGCGGGTGAGTCTGCTGAGAGTTAGTTAGAGAATTGAGAGGAGTCCGAGCCCGCGGCAGAGCCTCTAGGGCAGTGCCTTCCGAACAAGCTGTCCGACTCCCGGGCGGCCGGATTTCATCTCGAGCCAGCTTACATGTCGACAAGGTCTTTATCGCTGGGAGATTCTGCAGATGCGACACCGCGACGTAGCTTTAGGACAACTTCATCAGCTGTGTCTTTGGCTGAATCCGGCGTTTGTTTTGAGAGCCTTTCGTGCCAGGGCAACCACTCGGTGTGAAAGTGTTGTAAAGTCGGGGTCTAATTATCGAGGGCTTTGAGTACTAAGGTCTTCGACGGTCCTGGCAAAGACCTTCTATCCGACGTGCCACTCTTCAGGGATTGCACGGACCGGTTCCTTAAGGCGAGCGCAAAGTTATGCAACATTCATCGTCCAAAAATGTCTTCAGCTGTTGTGACGTGATTGCCGCGGGGTGGTTGCTGCAAGGCCTTGTCCGACCAAGTCCACACCCGACTGGTGCAGCCCGGAACGGACATCTACCTTGAAGGCGAACGAGGTGCTCCTGTCAGGCATGTTGTAGTCAATGTCATAGATGGCAGCGGGTCAAAAACTTCTGGCCCCTGGCGCGACAAAGTTTGTAACAAAAATGGTTTTTTGCGACAAGGCTGGCGCGACAAGGTCCATCATGTTGCATTGCCGCGCGACAAAAGTTTGAAACCAAAGCCGGCGCGACAAGGGTTTGTAACAGAGGGAGGGGTGGGGCCCCGCGACAACACGGGGTATTGACCCGTCCCCAGATCGAGCTTCTGCGTCTTGGGGCCAGGGAACTCACTGGGATCGTTATAAAGTTGATGTCTTTTTTGTCTTTCTTGGGCCTTCGGAGCAGAAGCTGACGTGCGTGCGCCCCGCCCCACTGCCCCGCTTGAGGCGACAGCTTGTTCTATCTCTGCAGGGGCGAGGTGGAAGTCCTGCACGGCGAGGAGGTTCAATCCATACACAAGGCTCACAGGGATGCAACTTAGCCGGTCAAAAGGTGTGGTCGAAGTACCTGAGAGGATGGTGCAGTCTTCGGAGAAATGGCGGCTGCCAGCAAGCATCCGGCTGTAGGGGGCCTAGCTTTGTGGGGCTGATGGATGTTGTGATTACTCATGCGAGTGGCATCGTCTGCCCCAAGTTGACGACGCGATCAGCGACGGTGAGGGCAACGGCTCTCTGCGATGTGAAGGTTCTTCAAAGAGACGACCTGCAGCAGGCTCGGCCGCTCGGGCTACACAGACAGGCGCACGCCTGCAACCCATCTCAGACCGTGAGCAGGTCTTGAACCACTTCAGAGAAGATGCACCTGGGCCGTTTTGGAAGTTCCGCCTGCAGGTAGATCATGCCAGCATGCAGGCAATGCAAAACACAGCCGCACAGACACACACCGGTATCACCTGGGGATCAAACACGATGCTCATGTGCCGACCCATTTTGTTAGACATTTGCATTAAGTTTCTTCATGTTTCTTCGTTGTCTGTGTAAGCATGGCATTCTCTACGGTTGGCAATCCACAGTTGTAGCTGCAGAGAGTGTATGACGATGTTGATCTTGACCCCTTCCATTCGTGGCATCGTGGCCACCAGCCCACGTCCTTTTCCAGGCGAAGCGGATTCATGAGAAGGTCGAGCGCCACGTGGAAGAGCTCCGCGAGAAGGGGGAGCTCCCGGCAAGGAAGGTGCTTCTGCGGCAATTCGTATTTTCCTCATTCCTGCATCAATGCAAGAGCAGCCAGGAGGTGTTGCAACAACGATTGCCAGTCTAACTGTAACTTGGGAGGCGTGACTTCGGGCTTGTTAGAGGGAAAGTTGTTCACTGTCATCCTTTCCCCCGTTGATGTAGAGTGCGAAAGGAGTGGTGGCGAATGGACACGAGACGCTTTCTTGAAATCTGGTGTGAGAGACCCTTTGCTTCCGGTGTGCATACATCGGCCGACGAGGACGGTCATCTGTTGCCTCGGTTGCTTCGGCGACTTCGGAGGGATGCAGACCTCAGAATGCATGGACGCGGGCTTTCTCAGGCTCCGAGATGCCAGTCACGTCCTTCTTGTCACTGCCGTAGCCGGCATTACCCTGCTTCCCTTTCCAGGCATGAAGCTGGCAAGGCGACTGTCAAATATTGGGCCAACGCGGCCACATGCCTACACCATGGCGATGTCTGCCATGACTGGCCTTACTGGTTTGACCAGCAAAGCAGTGCATGGCTTGCCACATCGGGGCCGCCGAATGAGCAACTCCCTCAGCATCCGCTGTTAGGCAGTGTTTGTCATGGCCGACATGTCCGAAGCGAGGGTTCCGCGCTCATCCCCGCTCAAAGTTGACCCACATGGCCCCTAGAGAGCTGGTTGCAAAAGCTCGAAGTCTGTCAGATCTATAGTAGCAGCTATGGCTTCTAGAGCTATTCGATATCGCGGGTCTGTGGTTCAAGCAAGTTAAAGCAGACCCAGCACACACTTTCGTGTCCTGTCTTTTGATTCGCAGCTGCAGTTGCTTCAAGCGGCCGACATGGAATGATCGCTTCAGCTTGAACTGTTGATGTCGCTGCCCTTGTGAATGTCTTTATCAATTACATGCTGTGGCCTCCCACCCACAAGTAGCGCACGCATGCGCGCACATCTTAGCGACTCAGGTTCTAAGCCTGTAGCTCCTACCAGATCTAAGGCGATGGTGCTCTGTTCGTGCGTCAGCATGAGAGGCAAGCTTCGAAATCCAGCAACTTGACCGATGCGCGGCAAGCGCCAAAAATCCACTTTGACCAGTTGGAGAGTGTCATTTCTGGCGCATCTGAGGTGTTGCAAGCTTGACATCCATACGTGAGGGCCAAGTTGATCCTGACAGTAACAAGGAGAACGAAGGCTACCGCACTTTTCTGACAACGGGGTGTCACTGATCTGCTGCTTCCTACTCTTACTATAGTGTAGTGTATCAGTGCAGGTGTCTTACGCGCCTTCTGCGGCACCTCTGGAGGTTCCAGCTCATCAACTTCCTCGTCCACAAGCGGAAGCAACGAGCCCGATTGGGCTATGTTAGAGGATGACGCAAGTTCACGAAGGCGGAGCAGTGCAGAGAGCCTTGACTCCGACGTTCACGAGGCCGATACAAGAAGTAATCAACACACGTGGCAATCATCTTCTTTATATGCCCTGCTTTTTGTTGCAACGGGTGCTTCAGAGAGTCGGTGGAGAGTGTTGTCTAAAATACAAGTGTTGTGACCTTCGCGATGTCCGAAGGCACGTCATGTACCAGGGGCACTGCATATAGCACACTGAGGCAAAGCTTGCAGCCTTGCAAAGCTCCCTAACACAAGCCAAAAGACTCAAGAGTCAAGAGCAACCTCCAGTTTCCATTCTCTTGTTTCGACTCAACCACCAGGTGCCACCTCGCCTAGAGCAAAAGCGCTCCACACGTGTATTGCTGCTTTCTTCGACAAACAAAATAAGCCTTTGTAAAGCGATTTTGCCTGATGTGTCGACGTGTTCGTCCATGTTTGAACCATGTCGGACTGCAGGCCAGTCATTCGATTCGAGTCCTGGATCCGTGTGAAAGTGAGCAAGTTTCCAGTGCGCTTGGCTGCAATGCTGTTGCATACTGACGGAGCCAGACTTGGTCGGTGCACTGTCTTTAGAGAAGCCAAGGAAGCGATCCCCCAGCAGACAGCAAGGCTGAGCAAATCCGAAGAGCCATGGCCGGTTTTTGGACGTCAAGATGGCACACCTGGAGTCGGACCCTCTCTGTGTTGCATTGAGGACTCTCTTTGCTCCTCGATATCTGGTCTCCCAAGCTTGCAGAAGCGGCAGACTCAGGTGGGCCGGCAACGTGCACAACACGTGTTAGGAAGTTGGGACATTCAGACCTGAGCCTGGCAAGAGTGGCAGGCGAGCTTGTTGCTACGTTGAAGATTCAGGAGCTGTCGAGGTGAGCCAGCGAGAATTCTTCTGTCGTTCTGCGATTGAGGACTCGAGACCACCACCGCTACCATCCTTGGAACTCGCAGCCAGACCTGAGTCCACGCCACGGATGCCACGGCGACCTCAAAGCCAGGACTTGAGACTTGAGATGCTTCCCCCAGAGACAGTGCAGAGACTTTGCAGAGCCAGGAGGCCATGATTCTCACTGCGAAGCTTCCGCGCCCGCAAACCGATCACGCACCGAAGCGCAGGCGGAAGTTGTAGCAGCCTCGGGCCTGTGCTTGGGAGGATGGGCAGGAGCCCTTACAGGCGATGTACATGGAAGTGAAGCTTTGCACTCAACTTGGTCGACGCTGGGCACCCAATGACGCACGAACGACAAACCAACAATTTTCTGTAATGAAAAACGACAAGCAAACCAAAAGAAAGGAACCTGCGGCATTTGCAACAAAAACCACCCGAACATGTTCCACACGAAAGGCTTGGAATACCGTGCCAAGAATATTGGCCTGAAAACGAGAGAAGAACGCAGAAAAGCGACCCACCCTCTTTGCTTTGTGCCATTTGGCACCGCGTGTCTTCTTGTCGCCGTTGTTGTTGCTGCTACTGCTGCTGCTGCTGTTGCTGCTGCTCAGTTGTTGCCCCTGCTCCTGCTTCTGCTCCTGCTCCTGCGCCTGCTGCTGCTGTTGCTGCCGCGGCTGCTGCTGAGGCTGTTGCTGTTGCTGTTGCTGTTGCTGTTGCTGTTGTTTTTGTTGTTGTTGTTGTTGTTGTTGTTGTTGTTGTTGTTGTTGTTGTTGTTGTGGGTTGTTGT